ATACTTAGGTGCACTGTCTGTTTATTTTGCTCTTCAGATTCCTTTCTCAGAAGCACATAGAGACATAAAGACACTCAACACATTTGGCAAAATATAAACCGTACTTAAATCTGAAAAAAATCCTAGTACAGTGGTACCTCAGGTTACATACGCTTCAGGTTACATATGCTTCAGGTTACAGACTCTGCTAACCCAGAAATAGTACCTCGGGTTAAGAACTTTGCTTCAGGATGAGAACAGAAATCGTGCTCCGGTGGCGCAGCGTCAGCAGGAGGCCCCATTAGCTAAAGTGGTGCTTCAGGTTAAGAACAGTTTCAGGTTAAGAACGGACCTCCGGAACGAATTAAGTACTTAACCCGAGGTACGGCTGTATTCTGAAGATACAGTCTGCCTACATCATATTCCAAAAAGTTTGCAAAATTTTCTTTATTTTTATTTTTTTTAAAAAAAAACCCTGCACCTATATACAGGAGTCATGTTTGCTGAGCATAATATATTCTGCCGTTGGTTGGCAAATGACACATCACTTGGTTTCCAGTAAGATGCAAATGCCTATGTCCTTGCACACATTCCAGGGCTTTGATGAATGCAGTATCAAGTAATAAACATGCATGTGTGCTGCACCAGTTGGTAGAGCATCAGAATCTTAATTCCAGGGTCATGGGTTTGAGCCCCACGTTGGGCAAAAATATTCATGCATTGGATGGGGTTGGATTAGATGGCCCTTGTGGTCCTTTCCAGCTCAGCAATTCTGTGATCATAGACACACGTCATGTAATGTCTGTTTTCTAAATCAACTAATTCAAGATTGTTATACTCCACTCTTCCTCAAATCTGGAGTTCAGGGTAGCTGAACACTGAGGTCCTCCTCCGAGGGCCTTCTGGTGGTTCCCTCATTGCGAGAAGTGAGGTCAAAGGGAACCAGACAGAGCACCTTCTTGGTAGTGGTGCCCACCCTGTGGAACGCCCTCCCATCAGATGTCAAGGCAATAAACAACTATCTGACTTTTAGAAGACATCTGAAGGAAACCCTGTTTAGGGAAGTTTTTAATGTTTTATGTTTTATCGTGTTTTAAATATTCTGCTGGGAGCTGCCCAGAGTGGCTGGGGAAACCTAGCCAAATGGGTGGGGTATTATTATTATTATTAATAATAATAATAATATACACATACAATATATTACATCACTTAAAGACATAACAACAGGAAAATATAACAATCAGTAAAGCCACACCTTAATAAAGTGAGAAATGTCTGGGTAATGCTGTTTCAGTTTTGGTTTTGGTTTTGGTTTTTTTCAAAAAAAAAAATTAGTTTTCCAAATTTATAACAAATTCAATTTTGGTTTTGGTTTTGGTTTGGGCACTGGCAGAGAAAGGAGGGTGCGGTGAGAGCAGCCCGCCCCAGGTGTCATCTCTGAGGGAGGTGACATCGTAGTGCCATCCCCTGGGACACTCGCCGTGGATGGCGTCCACCACCCTGCCCCCCATGGGTCATGTGGATCTGGTAGATTTGCATGGGAATATGAACTGGAAAGATCCCACCTCACTCCACATTGCTACCGTATTTTGCTGGTGGCAGTCCTAGACATGGTCACGTGCCCTGGGAGTCAGATGTCCTTGAACACAATGGACCTTCAATTGGAGTAAACAGCCATGGGCTTGCAATGCTCATTCCAGTGTAGGCCACAAGACTTTCCTTGCATGGCCAATCACTTGCACTGGGCTGGGGCCAGTGTCTTGTTGACAAGGCTCAAGAAGCTCTCTTCCCTCCCTGTCCCCGCCAGCCACAGTGGCATTGTCATAGCCCTGTGGGCAACTTTGTCTTCCCTTGCTAACTTCGAAGAGTGTTGCCTCATGCCGTTGATCTCTTTTATTTATTTTGAGCCCTAAAATGCGACTGACCACAGAACGAAGAGAAGGACGCCTATCTGGCAGCGAGTCTAGGAAAACGCTGGAAAGTTCTTCTTGTTATTCTTTGAGTCTGATGTTAACACAATATTTCTGGACGATGTGATTCTAAGGAACAGCACCGGCGGCCACTAGCTGGGCGTCTGCCCTGCTTGAAACAAGCAGCTGCACATTTTCACATCCTGTCCAGAGAAGGCTGCTGTAATAGCCTGTGAAACGCAAAGTTTGCATTGAATAAATCTTTACTTGACCAGACAAAACGTGGGTCTGCAGGGTGATTCCACAGTAGACCTGCCCTTTCACTTCCTTTCCGATTTAGTAGACTTTCTGAGCGTACTTATACATCGGGAGCAATACAGCTGGACTGTTTAAATAAGAGGGAAAACTCAACATTTTAAATAAGGAAACCTCAGTGCCTAGTGCTTTTTGTTTTTTTAATGACCCAGGCTGCTGGGAAGCCACACCTCCTGACCTCAAAATTCTGCTTCTTAAAACTGAGAGCTGTCAAGGCAGAATAGATTAATGGGATGGTCAGACCCTGGACTGTAACACTTCGGTGTGTGTATTTTTGAATGTTCCCTGACATAAAAGGCTCCCTGCACAGAATAAGCTAGAACATTAGGGAGATCTATACTAAAATATTATCTTACGATGTGCTAATTTACTGCATGCAAGAAGGATATTGTTGTTTCAATGCGGGAAGTGTTCAAAAAAATTGGGCACAGGCCACGACTTAAAGTGAGACAGTCCTAGGAAAACTGTATAAGCATCTTGGCTTGGTTTCTGCACGTGGGAAATATATTTGTGAATCGGTTTTCTCACTAGATGGCATTCACACTAGAGCTGCAATCTGAAGCATAATGTCCAAGTTCAGGTGTGAAAATACCATTTCCCCCTCTCTGAACTTGCAAGTTTTATATGTGAATTTAATTAAAGCAGGCTAGCAGGGATAGCTCCAGGTTTGAGGTTATCGAAAAGGTGCCCCCTGGTATCTCCCCAGCCCCAGGCATACCTGGCAACAGTATCTACATCTGGGAAGTCTAGGGCATTATGGGAAATTCAAAATGGTGGGCGGCTTTCCAGATACAGCTGCAGTAGCACCTACAAGCAGGTGGCTTAGGTGGATAGGAAGGGCAAAGCAGGCATACCTGGCAAATCTAGTGGGCTCTGCCAGGGTTGTGTGGGCCTCGGCAAAAAACCCAGAATAAACAAGTCTGGCTGTGTGTACTGGCCTTCTGATGTTAGCTTTTGGCACTCAAGCTTGCATGCATCTTTATTAACATGTTCTATGCCAGTGATAGCTAATGTTGTTGCTCTCCAAATGTTGGTCTACAACTCTCATCATTCCTGACTATTGACGATGCTGGCTGGGATTGATGAGACTGAGAGTCCAAAACATCTAGTGGGCTCCACATTGGCTACTCCTATTTCTATGTTATTCAAATCTAAATGATGTTAAAGGATTTGTCTTCAGTCTCATAGACTAAGAAATTCTGAATCGAAACAGACAAGTATACGTGAATCCAAAAAACTAAGAACGATTAATCAGGATCATAAAAACCATAATTTGTTCTACTCAGCTTTGTTTGCCTTTCATTAAGGCATCATTTGATACACATCCTCAACAGAATTGTTTTAAGAAACCATAGCAAGAAAAATAGTGAAGTCACAAAGGATTTTATCTTCAATATTCTTAACATGTGCCAAATATTTTACAAGAGTCTTTTAATTCAGAAAATAATTTAACTAAAGCACTTTGATTTTGAAGCTTGGATAGCTGTTATCTCCTGAAAATTCTAATTACAGACACTTCTCAATTTTCCTTTCAACTGTGACAGAAAATGTAGTAATCTGCTGCAGATGGGTTATTCCTCTCAGAAAGGAAGAGGCTACCCTACATCATTCCGGTGCAACAAATGTAGTGCAAAGACTCGGCATATGCAGAGATGCTTAAATGAGATGCAAGCTTTGTGAGCCATTACATAGGGATGTAGGAGAAGCTCAGTTTGGTTCACATTTTAATGTGAAACATCCTAATTCGCACTTCCTGAAATTATATGTGAACTGAAACACAGCTATCCTTTTCTGAATTTTGTGATGAAGTTCTCCAACCAAAGAATGTCTAAAAAATGTGTTTTAGGGGAAAGTGTGAGTAAAAAGGCATAATTAGTGAAAGCAGCAGACAAAATTGTATCGTATTAACGAAATTTGCTTGCAAAAGTACGTGCATCCAGAAAAGTTCACACCAAAATACTGGTGGATTTTCATGTGAACTTTTAAGAACAAACTCTCAAACTGATGCAGGACTGTGGAAAATGGGGGAAATGAGAAACTGGGAGAAACCAACACTGACAAACCCATCCATCCTTACCACCCTATGAACTGCAGCCTCTCTCTATAGAATCCACTGCCACTGGGTACAAGCTTAGTCAACCAGTACTTGCACTGGTTTAGCTGTTGTCATTCCTCAATACATGGCTGGTGAGATGTGCCCACTTTGTGCTGCTTCAACCTAGTAGGAATTTCTGATACAATTTGAGCTTGAATAATTGTCACTGACAATTGATCTGAACTTCTCCAGGTGTAAGCTGCAGCTACAATCTTACAAATTTGGCAAAGGGTGCATGTTATGTTTGCTGGTCCTTCAGCAAGATCCTCCACATTCCACAGATATCAGAGATAGTATTAAGCAGAACAAGGTGGTAGAATGAGGTTCTGGACTGCATCAGTTCATACTGCAGATGGGCAGTCATCATTTTGAATGTCTCCTTACATGTCGAAAATAAAATTTACCACATGGATTTGAGATTGACCATGCTTGAAAGCACCTAGGGATCTTAACACGTGTTCAGGAACATTGATCACAGCCAGTGCTCAGTCCCTCAAAGAAGATAATAGGAAACCTCAGCATGTATGAAGCTCTGGATTCCAGCCACACACACAAAAATAGATTTCATATTACTTTAGATACATTTAGAGAAAAATGTTGTTGACTGTAATTACCTCAAAATTAGAAAATGAGCATTTGGAACTTGTGCCAGTTCGGGTTTCTAAATCTGTCTCTGTTCAAGAATGTGTTATGACGAAAACATGGCCAACTTTAATAAAAGCAGGTATGTTAACAGAGATTTGGTTTCACCAAATGTCATTTGGCAGAGTCCTGTGGAATGTTTAATACGACATTGTTCTTATCAAGCAGCTCAGCAAGAGACAGTTCCTTGGAAACATCGGCCGCATTTATTAAAAGCATTTGGAAGGTTGCACATGAGAAAATAAGGTCAGACATAATAACATCCATATTTTGTTGGAGGGGCTGCTTGGACTTCCCCACCTGCTGAATGCTCTAGCCACCCTACTGAACGAATGAAAACATACCTGGCAGCAGTTCTACTCCAACCTGTTGAAAGTGGGCAAAGGGAGAAACATTTGAAGGCTTAACCTGAGTGTGTGTGTGTGTTCGCGCGCATGCGCAATTGCTACTGCTAGATGATAGACAGAGCTGGGCGGGGGAATGGCATAAACACACACACACACACACACATATATATATATATATATAATAGTATTTTTCGCTCTATAAGACGCACCAGACCATAAGACGCACCTAGTTTTCGGAGGAGGAAAACAAGAAAAAAAATATTCTGAATCTCAGAAGCCAAAACAACAAGAGGGATCGCTGCACAGCAAAAGCAGCAATCCCTCTTGCTGTTCTGGCTTCTGGGATAGCTGTGCAGCCTGCATTCGCTCCATAAGACGCACACACATTTCCCCTTACTTTTTAGGAGGGAAAAAGTGAGCCTTATAGAGCAAAAAATACGGTATATATTTCTGTCCAGCTTACTCAAATCCAATTGCAATCTAAGAGAATTAACATTAAACCAGGCACGGTTGGGAATACTAATTGTAATAATCCTTACCATTGACAGAGAATGTGCAAACCACTTTACTTTACACTGTTGCACTAACTTTACAATGATTCTGTAAAGTAGGTGTTAGTTATTTATTTTTAAGTCCCTGTATTACAGATGGGGAATAGACACAGGCTGAGAGCTAGATTTTGCTAGGGATGGGGGGGAATGGTCTATTTCCAGTCCATGGCCCTTCTTATTCCATCCCATTTCTGCAATAATCTTTGACTGATAGATTGATTTAAAATCCTTACAGAAATTCACAGTTGAATATACATTTGAATTGCCTCTATCTCTAAGCACGCATTTCCAAATGCATTTTCCTCTCAAAATACTTTTTAAATGCATTTTGATGTGCTTTTTCTTTAGCTGATTATTGCATTGTAAAATTTGGAAAAGGGCAAAAACGCAAAGATTTGATCTATGTGTTGGTCCAGCTGGTACAAATCAGGTCAGTTCATATCGGAAGCCACAACAGTCAAATTCCCGAAGTATATCCCAGAGGCTGTTAAAAACCACCCTGTGACTTCAGGACTTTGTCAAGCTTTGAATGGAGGATTCCCAGGTTCACAAATCTGTCTCTCAGTCAATATACAAGTTGAGCTCTGACAAAATTCCCAGCTCTTGTTACTTTTGGTGAATTCGCTTGCCTTCCAAGTTTGATATTATAGGTTTCAGTCACGGGTTGGCCTCAAGTGAGGGTTGCTCCAGGATTCCCCAAACTTCTCAAGGTGGAGAGAAACAACAGCAGGCTGAGTCTCTTCATCTCCCACTGATTTGGCAGGCAAAGAAAAGATCATTCCTGAGAATGTGTGGTTTGGCTTGGCTCACTCACCTAAGTTATTTTAAGCTCCTCCATCCTCACCCTACCACCACTGCACCTGCTTTGTGGTTATATTGTAATCTGTTAGGGAGCCTGGATGGTCGTAATCATTCTTTTTCTTTTTTTTAATAGCATCCAGTTCAGACCCATGCAGAAGATAAAGGGAATCCCCACCAGAGAGAGAGAATTTCCCAGTTTTGATACCATGAAACTACTTTCTAGATGCCTTGTAGAAAACGTTTTGCCTCCTATTTTCTAAAGTGGCCAGAATTCATGAGCAACAAACAGTATTTATTGTCAACAGAAAACCTAAACTGATCTGCATATCACAAATAATATAAGCAAAGGTAATTACAGTGGTACCTCTGGTTACGTACTTAATTCATTCCGGAGGTCCGTTTTTAACCTGAAACTTTTCTTAACCTGAAGCACCACTTTAGCTAATGGGGCCTCCTGCTGCCGCTGCGCCGCCAGAGCACGATTTCTGTTCTCATCCTGAAGCAAAGTTCTTAACCCGAGGTACTATTTCTGGGTTAGCGAAGTCTGTAACCTGAAGCGTATGTAACCCGAGGTACCACTGTACAGCATTAGATGTTTTATGGTCAGAAATAAAAAGCCACTTGAGGAGACATGCAGGCCTCTGCATGGACTCTGAAGGCTCATGTAGATCTCTGCTTGTCCCACCACTTTCCCCCCAGGGACACGGCTGGTGCTGTAGTCTAAACTGCTGAGCCACTTGGGCTTGCCGATCAGAAGGTTGGCAGTTCGAATCCCCGCAATGGAGTGAGCTCCCGTTGCTCTGTCCCAGCTCCTGCCAACCTAGCAACCCAGCAGTTCAAAAGCACACCAATGCAAGTAGATAAATAGGTGGCAGGAAGGTAAATGGCATTTCCATGCACTCTGGCTTCCATCATGGTGTTCCGTTGCACCAGAAGCGGTTTAATCATGCTGGCCACATGACCCAGAAAGCTGCCTGTGGACAAACGTCAGCTCCCTTGGCCTGAAAGTGAAATGAGTGCCGCAACCCCATAGTTGCCTTTGACTGGACTTAACCGTTCAGGGGTCCTCTACCTTTTACATCCCCCCCCCCCCGGGAAACCTGATCTTTGCTGCTGAAAAAGTGAACCCTCAGGCAGGATTTGCATGTTCATCTCATAGGAAGCTGAGATTGTTCCTTGTAATATCCCTAACCCAAGTTTTGAGGGGTAGGTAGGAAGGGGCATCTCTCTCCCCATTATCTTTAAGATAACAGACTGTATAAGGCATATAAATGAGTTTGTAGCCATTCTTTTTACTTCTTTCTCAAAATGTTCCCCATCCCTTGCTATCCCACATATCCAATCTCTATCATTTGAATGTACAGCAGGATGAATGGTCCTTTTCACATGTTACTGTAAAGTGGGTCATCTGAGTCTATTAGCTAGGAAAGTTATGGGGATGCTTTCCTTGAAGCTCTTCTTTCTTTCTTTCTTTCTTTTGAAGGACATCTGTCGATGCACCTGTGAGGAATTTGGGCTGTGATTCTCCACACATTTTCCAGGGAGTAAAACTGAATAGGACTTCTGGGTAAACTGAACAGGATTGAACTATAAACCCAGGGATTTCTGGCACATAAAGTGGTTGCAAAGATTTGTCATTATCACCATCATCAAATAAATCCTTCAACGCTATTATTAAATAATAATAATAAAAAAACCCAAATTAAAAGAGATTCAAGTACGTTGCACATGGGGTGTTAAGCTACTGATTATTTTCCATCCCCTTTCCTAGTATTTGGGAGAGGAACAAAACATACACACAATACTGCTTAGTTGAAAGAAATTGGAGAGCAAACACAAAAGAAATAAATACATTAAACAACAACAAAAAGTCTCCTGATTTGTCCCAGAACAGCCCTCTTCCGCCACCTAGAGGAAGGGAGAGATCATGGTTTACTTTTAACTTTGCTGTTACACCCTAATTGTTTTAAGAAACGGCCTTGCTAAATGCTGGGTACCACTGTTCATCAAGCCAAACTCAGCTCACCATCCATCTATGGCATAAGGATGTAAGAAGATTCTAGCTGCATCAGGCCAAAGGTTCATCTGCTGCAGCATCTTGTTCACACAGTGGCCAACCAGATACCTATGGGATGCCCCAAAGCAAGATTTGAGTCTAAGAGCATTTTCCCTTCCTTTGGTTGCCAGAAACTGATATTGAGAAGCATTGCTGCCTCTGATGATGGAGGGCAGGCTACCAAGGACTTAAATATCTTCAGTGCCGGATTTCTGTATAGGCTAAGTAGGCTGAAGCCCAGGGTCTCTAAATCTAGGGGGCCACACCAGCCTGCCCTCTCCCCAATGCCGCAGTCTCCTCTCTCCCAAAACTGCAAACTCAAGACTTCATGCAAGGGCAGGGCAACTCAGGCCCAGCAACTATGAGACTCAGGGCTAGCCAGTGGGGCCCAATTTGAAACAGTGGGGTGCAACTTTAGGTTGTTGTTTTTTTGTAGGACTGTGTAGGTTCACAGTCAAAATCTTATAGATATAAATAAAATCCATCTAGATTGCCCTGGTGTGTGTGTGGGGGGGCCCTTAGGAGCGGTACGCGGGGCCCAAATCGCTCCAATTGCCTTAAGGTCAGCCCTGATGAGACTGTGCAGGGGTTGGACTGACAAGCCCTGCACCTTCTAGGTCCCTGGTGTCACTATTCAGAGTACAGAGTCAAGGACTTGTTATGAAAATAAAGGGGGGCACTTACTGAAAATCAGTTTTGTCACCTCTCCCCCCCCAAACCCCGAGACAATGAGCCCAGCCAGCTTTTATTCACAGCCGCATAAGCACTACACTACAGCATGGCCATAAACCTGTACATTCAACTGCTGAAATATACACCCAATATGTAGCAATGGAGATTTATGTTACTGCTTTATGAATGAACACTATGTTTTATGAATGGACCCTGCATTTTGTGAATTACCTAAGAGCCACCAATAGGGAGCTCTAGAATCTGACAGCTAACCAATTGGGTACTACCAAACAGCAACCCCTGTTGCTGAAAGCAGGTAGCCAGCAGGCAATGCTTCAGCTCAGCCTTTGCACTGTTTACTGAACACCCCCTGCTGTGCAGATAATGGAGAAAGCTCATAAATTGTATCTCTTCTGGCATCCTGGCCAACTCCATTACACTGGTGTAAACTCTGGTGCACCAGAAGCCCAGAACAGCTGCAAATAAAATCTGCTCATACGTCAGTGACTGATAAGACTTGTCAACCAGTTCTTCCAAAGTCTTCCTAAATTATAAAGTTCCAAAATACAGGGCAAGGGAGAACAGGTCTGGGAAGAGCGAGGTATACAATGGGCACCGCCAGTGAAAAGGCCATGCTCCGTGTAGCTCCTGCCCTGTCATTTGATAGGGTGCCCATTTGTCCTGCTTTTTGACATGGAATGTTCTCTTTTGGAGTCTCCAGGTCCAGTACAAAGACCATAAGAAGGGAGAGCAGGGACCTTGAAGTTCCCAACAGCTGTTAAGCAAGCAAGCACACATGTCACCTTTGTCACAGTCAGGATGCCTATGTTCTGGCCAGGCCTGCACCCAATCTTGTTTGTTCTCAGTAACTTAAATTATATTATCAACATATACAAGCAGAAAAATTGTTTTCCTTCATTTGCAACGAAGCGTACAAAACAAAGTAGCACTAATAAAGAAAAGTTCCAGGGTGGCAACAGAAAGCAAACTAAAAATGCTTTTGCAGTTCATCAAAACTATCCAGCAATATCAAGTTATAGGAAAACTGGTGCTATTAACAGTAATCCTTCTAGTTGGTTAATTGGTTCAGCAACTTCCATGAACATGACGTGTGATGCCAATTATTTCCCCAAAGAGTTAAATTATAACTAATCAGAGCTGCAAATGACAACAAAATATCTGTGAAAGGAAAAGGAGCAGGTTTGCTCAAGTGTGTTGCAGGTAGAAATACTGTTTGTAATGAAGTGAGAGCAGTAGTTTACTTGCTCGAATTAACAAATAAGAAAGTTTTGAGAATTCAAAATCTAGATTAAAATTGATTACTTAATTGAGAAGGGGAGTGTAACAAAACACTCGTGCCTAATTTGAATAGTAGAGTGCCTGGTATCTGGTGGGCAATCTCATCCTTTATTGCCCCACTGTGGCTTTAGACCAAATCATCTGTCAGGAGAGTTATGAGATTCAGGTGAGGGTCAGATGCCTTGTCAATCCCAGCAGGTATATAAGAGGCCTTCACCCTGGCCAGGCCACCTGCATGGGTTTTTTAAGAATAACATTACAACTTCATTTTCCTAAAAAATAATGCTTATTCCACAAAAGGTGTACAAAGTTCAGTTACTGCAAAAGTTTTTCAGTGTTAATTTTATGCATTTTTAAAAATCACAATGGTATTTAACAATAATATCTTACGTCCTTTAGAGGAGAAATTGTGAATTGCAGAATTTTAAATACCCATCATCATCCTTGGTTTCACTCAATTTTGTTTATAACACTCTTCCATTTTCTTCTAGTTGTGAGGGTGGGGAATGGGGAGGGGCCTCACAAGTGGAGTAGCCTAGGGCCTCTCTTCATCTGCCTATCTTTCCTGTTTGCCTGGGATTGGGAAAAAACAACAACCAAGGTGGTCCACTAGATGGTGCATCAGAGGCCAAGAGGGATCTCCTGAGGCTTATTCAGTAGCTGTGGACTATCCTGTAATGGGAGTCCTATCATTGTCCCTGGGCTGGGGTGGCAGTGGCAGTTGTGGCAATTTCTACTCCTCGCTCCTTCTGCAAGTTCTTTGCTTGAATTCTCCCTTTCTCTGGGGCTTGGCAGCAGTTGTTACTGCTTCTGCTCCTTTTGTAGCTGACCTGCCTGCTGCCAGGTTTTGAAATATGATTGGCTATCTTCTGGTGTTGGTTAAAAACACTTTTATTCTTCCAGATTATTAGTGCAGAGTGGTGGGAGAGATGTTGTCAGAAATCCTTGCTGTTGGAATGTTATTGGGGAGGGTTTCGGTGTTTGTTGCTGTATTTGGATGGGATAGACTTGGAGTAAGTGCTGTTGGCTGCTGTTTCACATTGTGTTTCTACCGTAGATTGCTTTTATTTTGTTAAAAGCTGCTCTGGGATTACCAACTCGACAAAGTGTGAGATATCTAAATCTAAAGAAGGCTGCAATCCCAACCCCGTTTAGTCTAGACTAAGCCTCATTGAACTCAGTAGAACTTACTTTTGAGTAGTCAACATGGCAAGGACTGCAGTGGAAATGAATAAACATCTCCTCCCTAGCACTTGTGTGTTGTGGTTGGTTTTTCTGCATTTAACAAATAAGCCTATAACCGGAGGAGCTTTTGCAGGATGCTCAAATTAATTTGCTATTCTGCACTCTCAAGTTAGCTATTAACGGTCTAGAGTGAAACTCTGAACAAGGGTGCCAACTTGAATAAAATATTGGGGGGGGGGTAGGTAAGTCCTGGCCCATATAACTGATCAGATGATGCAGTATGGGTACACCATTTGAATGGCAATGCCCATCAACTGGGGGGGGGGGGGGCTCAAATATTGTATTGGGGGGATGAAGGGATCTCGGCCCCTAGGAGTTGATTCCTATGTCTCTGGAAAAGTGTGCCTTTTGAAAATTGTCAGGAGACTCAGTGGAGAAGATTAAAGCTACGTTAAAGTGATCCATACAACGGTCACCTCCAGGCTTGACTACTGTAATTTGCTCTACGCAGGGCTGCCCTTGAAGCTGTCCCAGAAACTCCAGCGAGTGCAGAATGCTGCAGCGAGGCTCCTCACGGGGTCTCTGCCATGGGAGCATATTCACCCAGTGCTTTTCAAGCTGCACTGGCTCCCGGTGGAGTACAGGGTCAGATTTAAGGTGCTGCTTTTGACCTTTAAAGCCCTTCACGGCCTAGGACCCTCGTACCTACGGGACCGCCTCACCCGGTATGCCCCACGGAGGGCCTCAAGGTCTATAAATATCAACACCCTAGTGGTCCCGAGCCCTAAGGAAGTTAGATTGGCTTCAACCAGAGCCAGGGCCTTTTCAACTCTGGCTCTGGCTTGGTGGAACTCTCTGCCTCATGAGACCAGGGCCCTGCAGGATCTGATTTCTTTCCGCATGGCCTGTAAGACAGAGTTGTTCTGCCTGGCCTTTGGCTTGGAGCCAATTTGATTCCCTCCCTCCCTTTCTTTTTTCTTTTCCTTTCTCCTGTGATGAGGCTACATTTTAATATTTTAATGTTTCAATATTTTAATGTTGTATTTTAATTTTGTTTTTAATTTGTAATCATTCAACTTGGTTTCTTTATTGCTTGTTAGCCGCCCTGAGCCCGGCCTTGGCTGGGGAGGGCGGGGTATAAATAAAAATTATTATTATTAGTAGTAGTAGTAGTAGTAGTAGTAGTAGTAGTACAATGCTGTGCTTTGACCATCAGTCCAGTGGCACAAGCAATTCAAGTAAGGAGTGAAAGCAGACCCTCCAAATGTCCCTATTTTCCAGGGATGTCCCTGGTTTACACAAGCCATCCCAGTTTCTGATTCAATCCCGGAATGTCCCACTTTCCCTTAGGATGCCCCT